GACCTATCTGCTTGGCTCCAAAGAGTCAGCGTATCTAGGGTCATGGTGCCTGCTGTCCAACGTGTCCGCAAGGGCTCAGCGGAAGGAGAATAGAATTATGGACAAAGGGCTTAGGCTGAAATCCTGATCCTGTGACCTACAGCCACAGGTTCTGCTGACACCCCAGCTGAGCCTTGGTTTCCTCCTGAATCGTGGAACGATGCCCTCTCTCCCAGAGCTGGAGCGAGGGGCACGCGCAAGACAGCAGATGAAAGGCAAACCAGATACTGCTGTTTGAGTAAATTTCTAAGACGTGACTATTTCAGGGTGTCCCGATTCCTCATGGCATGGCTGCCTGTGCAGGTGGCAGGCAGCACCCAGTCACCCAGACCCTGTCTTTAGGGACCTGTGACGGGGCGCCAAGCCCTGCGCTGAGCACTGTATCGATGGTCTGCCCTTGATGTAGGCAGAATAGCGCCCCTCCCCCAAAGATATCTGTGTCCTGTGAATATATTAGGTTTCATGGCAAAGGGGAACAGAGGTTGTAGATGGAATTAGGTTCCTCATCAGACCTTAAAATAGGGAGCTTATCCAGAAATAGCTGGGTGGATCCAATGTCATCACAGAGGTATTTCTCCGGAAGCTGGAGGAGGCAAGCAACGATTCTCCCCCTAGAACCTCTAGAAAAGAATGCATCACTACGGACACCTTGAGTTTAGCCTGGTGGAACCAGCATCTGACTTCTGACCTCCGGAGCTGTAAGACAATACATTCTCTCGTTGTGTAAAGGCACCACCTACGTGTTGTTTGAAGGTGCTCAACTGGGGGTGATTTGTTACAACACCAGGAAGTAAGACGGACCCTGGAGGTGGACACCAGGGCTTTAATGACACCCCAGCTCTTATGAGACGGAAGCTCATAGTAACGGTAGGGTGTACACAGTTCCAGTCCCTTCCCTCTCCGTGGTCTATGTGGGCAGTCACTCACAAGCTACTCATGGTAAGAAGAGATGACGTAGGGATCACCCGTGTGAGCAGTATTCTTTGCCATTCACAGCTACAGCTCCTCCTGTGCCCCCTTCCTGCCCTGCCCTTGACCTTGGATCCAGCCTGGACCCAGGCATTTGAGACTTTATGCATATTTAAGAAAAGGCTAGCCTGGGTCTCAGAAAGACAGTTTGGTTAACATACATCACACACAGAGGGGCGCCTGGGCGGCTTAGTCGGTTAAGCGTCTGCCTTCGGCTCGGGTCATGATCTCAGGGTCCTGGGATCGAGTCCCACACAGAGCTCCCCACTCAGCGGGGAGTCTGCTTCTTCCTTTTCCTCTATCCCTCGCCCACCCCCACTCATGCTCTCTCCCTCTATCTCAAATACAATAAATAAAATCTTCCAAAAAACTCCCACACATCACACACAGAGAATAAAATAAAGTATATTAAAATAAATTTGCACTAAAATGAATCATTTAATCTTGACATCCAAAGACCCTTCAGGATCCTCCCATGGATGGGGTGTTATGATGAATGTCCATGACTTTGCAGGTGAGGAGATGTCAAAAGACATTCCCTGAACCCTCAGCTGTAACCAGCAAGTTGCTCTGGTCAGTAAGTCCTAGACATCAGCTTCCTTGCCCAGACCATTTGTCCCTCCTATAAAGGTCAGATTTGTCTCCTTGAGAGCAGATGGGGCTATTTCCTACTTGAAGAGAATGGTGGGGAAAAGAAAGACAGTGAATGTTTACAAAACCTTGTCTGACCTAGAAAAGTGGCCTAATAAACACTATTCCTATCATTTTCAGTTTGCCCCAAAACATGACAGCTGCTTAGTAGTTTCAACTGTTGAGTGGATGGGCAGACAAGAGTTACTGCTGCGGGACCGTCTGGGTGGCTCAGTCAGTTAAGCACCCAACTTTTGATCTGGGCTCAGGTCACCATCTCAGGGTTGTGAGATCAAGTCCTGTGTTGGGTTCTGTGCTCAGTGGGGAGTCTGCTTCTCTCTTTCTCTCCTTCCCTCTGCCCCTCCCCCTGCACGCTCTCTCTCAAATAAATAAATCTTAAAAGAAAAGAGTTGCTTAATGCACCTTCATTTGCAATGGTTCCTGTTTTGGGGCATTTACTGTCTTTCTCCGCGGTCTCTTGGTCATCAGAAGCTTTGGATGGTCAAGCCAGCAAATCATGGTGACAAAATGCTATGGCACAAGTGCCTTTCCAACCTTCTACTAAACTAAGCAGCAGGTGTGAATACAAAGAAAAGTCTCAATTCTTCAACGTTCAGGTCGATGGTCAGAGAGACGGTTGATTTACTACACTGTAGTGGGGTTGATTAATTTTTGATCTAAAGCAAATGGCCACTGCTTAAAGCATTACTACTGAAGGGACCAAAATATGCCACCCCAAAATATGTCACTTTGGCATGTTGGTTTTTTTTTTTTTTTACATGTTCATTATTTGGAATTAAAGTTACTCAAAAAAACAGTCAGTGCAAGAAGGACATTCTGACTTTTCTTTTTCCCCCTGAAAGCAGGAACTGAATCTCTCTTGTGATGGCTCCTCCCTATACCAGGAGGGCAAAGGGCATCTTGACACAGAGATGGAATTGGAGGGTGAGAAGGTTGCATAAACAAACTTGGTTACTTCCTCATTAATTTGCGACCCCAAACTCAAACCCCCTTGTTTGGTTAAATCTCTGCAAATCACTATTTCTATATCTAAAAGGTAGGAAAGGTGCAAACTTTATCATTTCTTTGAGCCTCATATTTTTATAAGCTCCCGTAGGTACAAAATTAAATCTGTTTTTCTCCTGTCACTCTGTCTCATGTCAACTTAATTATTAGATTAGTCGAAGAACCCAGAAGGCAAGAAAGGAAAAGTTTTCCTCCCATACGCTATAATTTAGATCAGGTCCGATATTTTACATATGTTATCCCTGAAACACCTCTAAGGGGTAGATATTATAAGTTCTCCTTTTTAAAAATTTGTTTCCAATACTTATTTTTTTTTCTGATGGTAAAAGCTGTTTCATGATTAGTGCAGGACACTTGTGAATTATGAAAAAGCATGGAAATTTTTCTATTGTTAGTCGTTAATAGTTCCACTCTGCGCTTTGATTAACATAGTTTCTCCTAAAAATATCCCGGTTAGTTTTTCTAATAGTTTATTATGAAAAAAAATTCAGTAGTCACAAAACAGATTAGTATAGCATGGTGCTATTTTTCAAAGGATCTATGATGAAGGACATTTTATTTCCTTTGGGGGGGGAGCAACAGAGGGAGAGTGGAATCTTTTTTTTTTTTTTCCTAAAGATTTTATTTATTTATTTGACAGAGAGACAGTGAGAGAGGGAATACAAGCAGGGGAAGTGGGAGAGGGAGAAGCAGGCCTCCTGCCAAGCAGGGAGCCCCATACAGGGCTCCACACCAGGACCCTGGGATCACTACCTGAGCCAAAGGCAGATGCTTAACGACTGAGCTACCCAGGCACTCTGAGAGAGAGAAAGAGAGAGAGAATGAATCTTAAGCTGGCTCCATGCCCAGGGGAGCTGACGTGGAGCTTGATCTCATGACTTGAGCTGGAATCAGGAGTCTGATGCTTAACCAAATGAGCCACCCAGGTGCCCCCACACCAGTTTATTTCTCATGCATCACACAAACCCAAACTTTGGTAGAAAACTAAAAGATAAATTACTAGAAAGAGGGGCATGGCCTTAGGTGTTGGGCAATGTCAAACTGCAAAGTTTCTAAATATTTCTCTCCCAGTCGGACTCACAGCAGAGACGTCATGAATGTTGCATAGACCCCCACTAGTGAGCACCAGTATTAAGTAACCAGCACTCAGCCCATCACCCGGCTCAGGCAGTTACCAACATTTTGCCAAAGCCCAGATTCCAACTGAAGGAGGCCGGGGGAGGGCAGAATAGACATTGCTCAAGACCTGAAGCTGGGGAGGGGTGAAGTCAGGATTCAAATCCATCTGTCTCAACAGAAAACCACCATTTGGCCCAGAGCACACAGCCTCACATGCAAGGCTCCCCTTATCAAGGAGCTGTGGAATGTAAGAGCCTTTCTAAGTGATGCTGGCAGAAGAAACAGACCTAACCCACACCCCGAGCTTCACATGGGCGAAAACTTCTACCTTCTTGAGACTGTTTAAGAGCTCCCCAACCTGGGACAGTCTGTCCTGGGGAAAGAACCAGCAAAACACCTTCCTCACCGCGGTCTTTTCTTTTCTCGAAGTTTTTAGATTCGGCTGTTAAGTACTAAGTATGGGCAGTTAGTGTCAGAGGGAAGGAGGAAGCGGACCTAGAGAAGGGGCTGTCTGGATGGGAGCTGAGCTCGGATTCAAAGTCTGGTTCCCTCGACTCTGCCGCCAACACCAGCACGACCGGGGTTCGGGGCACTTCTGAGCCCTGCCCTGAGTGCTGCCCACCCCCTCACCTGTCCGATCCTGGGAAAAGAAGCATCTGGACTCTCAAACACACCCCCAGCCCCCGTCGGACTGAGTCACATTTCCAGCCTACGGCTGACTTGGGCCGCACGCAGCTGCAAGGAAGGAAGCGAGCCTGGGCCCCGCTTCTAACTCAGGCCCCCGGGGAAGCAGGGGCCGCGTCAGGCTGGCCAGGATGCGGAGCCTGCGGTCGGCACAGGCGGCCTCGCCCGAGCCCCGCACTCTCTTTTCCTCTGTTCACGCCGAGCGTGCGCGGACCTCGGCCGCACTCGGCGGCGGGGAGCGGCGGCGCGGGGGCGGGAGAAGAGGGGCCGCAGTGGGGCCCGAGTCCCGCAGGAGCAGGGGCAGCGTCTCCGGCGTCGGAGGGTGACCGCGGCCGGGTCGACGGGAGGGGCGACGGCCGTCCAGCGGCTCTCCGGTGCCCGCGGGCTCCCCGCCGGGGGCTGCGCGCAATTCCCGCAGCTGCCCTTCCACTCGGGGCTCCCCGCGGACCCCTGCCCCGCGCGCCGCCCCCCCCGGGGCCCCCCCCCCCCCCCCCCCCCCCGCTGCGGACGACGCCTCCCCGGGCCCGGCTTACCTGCCGGGGGCGCGGCGGTGCCGTGGCCGCCGAGCAGCAGCAGCAGCGACAGGAGCGACAGCGGCGGCGGCGGGGGCCGCATGGCCCGGGGCTCCGGCGCCGCAGGTTCCGCGGCGGCTCTCAGGGCGGCCCGGCCCCGGCGCGGGGTTGGCCGAGCGGCTCACGTAGCCGCCCCGGCGGCCATGGCGAGCGCAGGTTGCGCGGGGCCCGCCCCTTCCCGAGCTGCGGCGACGCGGCCCCGGGGCGGCGGGACAGCCCAGCCCGGCCGCCGCGCCGCGCCCCGCCCCGCCCCGCCGGCCGCGGGACTTTCCCGGCGCCCCGACCCGCGCGGGCCCCCACCCGGCTCCCCGCGGCCTGCGGCGCCCGGCTCGGCCCAGGGCCCGGGGCTCTGCGGCCGGCCTCCCCGAGCGCGGAGCCGGCTGCCCGGGCCCGGCACAGACCAAGGGCCGAGCGGGAACCCCGCCGGACGTCCACCTTCTGGGACTTGCCGCCCTTCCGGGAGGACCCCCGAAGCCCCCGGCCCCGGGGTGCCCCGTGGCGAGCCGAGCCTCCACGCCCGAGCCCCCCCCACCGACCCGCGCCCCATCATCCGCTCTTCTGCCGCTGCTCCCAGATGCGTGGGGGTCCACGATTCCTCCCTGCGTTTAAACTTTGCTTCCTTAGCCTCTAACGTACCCTTGACGCTTTTAATCCATTTTTGAAAACAGGTTTAAGGGCACAGCGGTTAGACAGGGCCTGGGTGAAGGAAGGTGTGGGTATTTGGGGAACAGGGCGCACAGGGTACCGAGGAGGGCGAGAGAAAGGTTCCACATTTCAGGACGGTGTGTGGGTGTGGGGGTTCGGCCCTTCTCGGTGCAGGGAAGTGAATGAGGAAGTAACCTCCGGAGCTGGGGTGGGGCGCAGTGGGGGGCGGGAGGCCTCCTCACCCAGCTTGAGCCGCTCTCCGGTTTGAGGCCAGGATCTGGGTCTTCTGGCTTCTCCCAAGATGGGCCGTAAACCCAGCTGACATGGAAGAAAAGGGGCAAAGAACGGAATGAATGGGGCACATCCAGAATTAAAGAATAGGCCACCGAGGTCCGGCGAACACCTTGGCAGCATAGCGTTCGGCAACAAGGGCTTTACTTTTGGACTTCCTACATTTTATTTACTTATTTATTTTTTTATTTTTTTGGTTTAATTTTGAAGTAATTTTGAAGTACACCCAATGTGGGACTAGAACTTAACAAACCAGAGATCAAGAGCCTCCTCCCACTGTACTGACTGAGCCGGCCCGGCGTCCCCAACTTCTTTTTACTATTATTATTATTAGTAGTAGTAGTATATTATTTTGTAGAACTCTTGAAATTGGCCACTGTTGTAAAAAATGTGATAAACAAAAGAAAAAAGTGATGAAACACCTAGCGATTATCTGAATGATGCTTTGAGTTTTTCCAGATACAGAGACATGTCTATATGTTAAGTGAAAAAAGGCAGTATGTGAGTCAGACTCCTTGCACACTGAAAATCATTGGAGGGAACACACCAAAACACATGCAGTAGGTAATGGGATTATGAATGGTAACGGTTTTCTTTTTTTATTACTGCCACCACCACCAAGGGCATATTTTAGTTTCATAATCAAGAAAAAAAAATCATCTTAAAGGAAAGGACAGCCATGCATCCATCTCAGCCAAGGTCAGGGAGCGCTTGTGCTCTCCCCCATGTAGAGTTCTCAGAGGAAAAGACAATGGTTTTTTTGGAAGGGGAGATGGTAACCACCCCCCCCTTCCCGCCCCGCCCCGGAGGAGAGTACTTGTTCTTTTCCCAGTTGGATGATCTCCTTCCAGAGATCTTCCCTACTAAAACTGAGAGTAATTGCCAAGAATGCTTGATCACCGCAGAAAGGTAAATTCTCAGGGCTTGGCTTTTGCCTTTTCCTGCTCCTCCTGGCTGAAGACTTTGGCTTTTGAGCTAATAGCTAGATGGCTCTGACTCCCAGCGGGCTCCTCCACCTAAAGAGAACAAGAAGACAGTCCTGGTGCATTTCTGGGAAAGATGTCTAAGCATCCGCTGCCCTTTGTCTGGTTTCACATATGGCCCCCAGGCTGTCATGCAACTCCTGGGTTATTGCATATAACACGAGCACGGGTTCCCTTCTGCAGCTTCTCCCTTTGGGAGGCAGATTTACTGTGAAACTACAGAAAGCTTAAGCCCAGCTCCCCCCACGCCCACCGCCTTGCACAACCTCTTCCTCTGTCATAAGCAGGGGCTGCGCGCACCGTGTTCACATGGTCACAGGCTTCTCCGAAATCTGCAAAGTAAGAGATTTTAGCCACAATTGTTAGGACCTCTGTCTCTTCTCTTTCTGACTTCTCCTTTAATCCTTCTCTTACAGGGTGGTGGTTTTTTGTTTTTTGTTTTTTTTTTGAGAAGTGTCTTGATACCATGTATCACCAACAAACCGGTCAGGTCAAAAGAAACTTCTACACTGTCAGTAACGAACATTTGGATAAACCATTCCAGAAGAAAGACTGAATTAACTTTCTGTTCTTCATACGGAACATATTACCGAAGGTTTTCATAGGTAGAGGCAAAGATTACACAAAGATGTGCATTCAAGGGTATTAGAGAGTCAGACAGTTAATCAATACAGGTATTTTATTTTTCTGAATTTTACAATGTTAGTGGTATTTGGCAGCTTTTTTTTTAAAAAGATTTTTATTTATTATTTGACAGACAGAGATCACAAGTAGGCAGAGAGGCAGGCAGAGGGAGAGGGGGAAGCAGGCTCCCTGCTGAGCAGAGAGCCCGATGTGGGGCTCAATCCCAGGACTCTGGGATCATGACCTGAGCCGAAAGCAGAGGCTTTAACCCACTGAGCCACCCAGGGGCCCAGTATCTGGCAGCTTTAAAAAAATTGTAACTTGTGATTTATTTTCTCATACTTTTGTACCTAATTTTATATTCTTAGTTGTGTATCTTTTCTTTAAAGATTTTTATTTATTTATTTGAGAGAGAGAGTGAGAACATGGGGGATGGGTAGAGGGAGGGGAGAAGCAGGCTCTGTGCTGAGCAGGGAGCCCCATGTGGGGTTCAATCCCAGTCCCTGAGATCACGATCTGCCGAAGGCAGATGCTTAACCCACTGAACCCCCAGGTGCTCCAGTTGTGTATTCTTTAATGATATTATGTAATTAACACAATAATTAATAGAAATAATATATAATAATATATTATGTATATATATATAGAAATAATATAATAGAAATAGTTATACAAATAAGTTATAATTATGTAAATATAGATAATATAATAATTAATAAACTTATATAAACTTCAGCCTTACAAAACCCAAATTCTTCCTTCTGTCTCCATTTATTTGCTACCTTCTAACCAGTTAATCTTCCCGGAATATTTTCTTTCTTTTTTTTTTTTTTTTAAAGATTTTATTTATTTATTTGACAGACAGAGATCACAAGTAGGCAGAGAGGCAGGCAGAGAGAGAGGAGGAAGCAGGCTCCCCGCTGAGCAGAGAGCCCGATGCGGGGCTCGATCCCAGAAACCTGGGATCATGACCTGAGCCGAAGGCAGAGGCTCTAACCCGCTGAGCCACCCAGGTGCCCCCCCGGAATATTTTCTTTATGCTAATAACCTGGAGGTGCTCCCCTCATCTGTCCCTCAGGAGTGTAGCCGAAGGATGGCAGAAAGAAGCCAGTATTGGCTGATGGCCTGGTTGGGGGTTGTTTCATGCGTCGTACCACTCAGTCCTCACAATTAAGGGGTTATAACTCCCATTTCACAGATGAGGAGACTGAGGCCCAGAGAACTAAATAACTTGCCCTGCGGGGATTCGTCCTGGGTCAGTTTAGCAAAGCTGTAACTGTATGTCCTGGAATTCCCTTCTTGAGCAGTTTCAAGTTAGCCCAGGCAGGGAAGGATATTTTTGTACAAGACTGAGAAAGTGCAGCCATATTCCTTCATTCCCAGGAGGCTGGGGCAGGGCATGGGGCGTTGTTGCGATTCCTAGCATTGGGACTTATCCGCTGTCACCCTGCGCGGCAGGGACCCGAGGCTCCCCCAACTCCTGCTGGATCTTCTATCTCACCTCCCTGTCTCCTGGGCCAGGAGCGCGTGAGCTCCACGACAAAGGGCACCAGCATTTCCCGCAGGACACCTGCGCTGTCGTCCAGGTTGGAGGCTGGGAGATGGGGAGAGACTGACCGGTTGTTCTGGCTTTGCTCTGGTGCCCAGCTTGTCCTGGTGACCTCCAACCTTCCCTTCCCCACCACCTGCCCTGAGAGCAGCAGGCTCCAGCTCCAGACACAAGAAAAATAGTCCTAGACACACTGGGTCACCAGCCCCCACGACTGCCCAGGGTCAAACTCCTATCACAGACACACACCCCACACCCCACATGGTGCTTCTGCTTTTCTGACCCAAACCTGCCTGAACACACCCCCAAATTTCACAGCCAACAAGCGGTGGGGTAGGCTCTTGGCCAGTCCTAGTAGCTACAGAATCGCTTGCCTCTCACCCCAAACTGCTCACCCCCCATGCTTCTCCCCTTCTCCAGGCCTGGCTTTGCCGGCCAGATCATCCTTTCTGAGACTCCCTGACAAGACCAGCTAGTCCATCCGTCCTCTGGTGACGAACTTCCTGAGGGAAGATAGTGCTCTCCTTCTTCCTTCACCTCTCACCTCTTCCCCTGGGCACACCTGAAATTCTAAAACTCCATCTCTTGCTGGAGCTTCCACTCCCTGAGAACTTGGTTGCCCTCCCTGACCACTACCTTCTTCTGTTCGATACCAGCCTGGGTTAGCCTTGACCTCCGCTGAGGCGGTTGCCGCCACAGTGCAGGTGGGTGAATGTCTGAGAACTCAGGCCCCAAAGCAGGCCCTGAGCATGGCTGAGTGGAGCCTTGATTGGTCACTTGAGTCCTCTGTTTTGACAAAAGCCAACAGCAAGGGCAGAGCGCTTGGCATATAAGTGCAAGGACAAATTCACCTCAGGGCTCCAGGGCCTGGGGTCTGTCTTCTCATGGAGTCTGTCATGGGACTCCCTTGCATCATCCGGCAAATTTGCATTTCCGGTTTCCCCCTTCTGGTGGGACCCCATAAAACCTCATTACAGAAATACAGATTCTCTTGTCTTTCACCCCCTTCTTTGAGGGACCTTTGCAAGACTAACTATCACAGAAGGCGATGTTATGCATTCCATA